TAAGAAATCCAATGTATGTATATGGTTAAAATCAAGAACAAAATATTCAGTAGAAAATGGTAACACCTTGATCCAAGGTGAAATAGAGGTTGATAATCATCTTTTTCTGAAAATCTGCATTAATTTTTTTTTCCAGCAGCAGATTAAATCCGGATTATCAACTGATACCTACTTTCATTGTGAGTATGAATTTTTTTTTTATCATGATAATATATTTGATTCTCCATCAGTAGTTGCTGACATTTCTTTAATACTTCATTAAAAATAAGGCAAAAGTTAATGATAAAAATTCAAAGTTTCGCCTTTATTGTAAAAAGTTTATTCATACTTCAGACATAAAAACGAAATGTATTTTATAACCACTAGAGTTACTTTATAAAAGCTCAGAATACCTGGTGTTTGACATTTTTTCTCTCCACTCAAGATCACCTGAGTAAATTTGGGTGACCTATTGCTTTTTTATATATTTTTCATGACTCCAGGATCAAGCTTATTGTCAGATTTTTTGTTTGTTTTTCTTTTAGCTCACCAGAGCTGAAGGCTCAGGGTGAGCTATTAGTATCAAAGAGGGATGCTCCGGCATATGTCGTCCGTCGTCGAGCATCAACAATCGTCTTCTCTGACACTACTAAGCAGATTTACTTCAAATTTGGTCTGTAGCATGCTTGTGACAGTTACACTTGAATTTGCTCATGTCATTCCAATTAGCCCCTTTTAGGGGTCAGCAGAGCTAAAAATAGAAAAACCTTTAAACATCTTCTACAGAACTATTTGATGGATGATCACCAAATTTTGTCTGTAGCATTCTTGGGTAGTCTTTAATCAAGTTTGCTCATATGAATTTGATTGTCCCCTTTTAGGGACCGCTTAAGCTAAAAATAGAAATACCTTTAAATGTCTATTTCTACTGAACTAATAGATGGATGATCTGTGACCAAACTTTGTCTGTAGCATTATTGGGTAGTCTTTTATCAAGTTTGCTCATATTAATTTGATTGGCCCCTTTTAGGGGCCCGCTAAAATTAAAAATAGAAAAACGTTTAAACATCTTCTACTACAGAACTAATTAATGGATGATCACCAAACTTTGTCTGTAGCATTTTTGGGTAACATTTTATCAAATTTCTTCTCGTTAATTTGATTGGCCCATTTTAGGGGCCGCTAAAGCTAAAAATAGAAAAACCTTTAAACATCTTCTTCTTCAGAACCAATTGATGGATGATCACCAAACTTTGTCTGTAGCATTCTTGGGTATTCTTTTATCAAGTTTGCTCATATTTATTTGATTGGCCACTTTTAGGGGTCGCTAAAATTAAAAATAGAAAAACCTTTAAACATCTTCTACTTCAGAACAAATTGATGGATGATCACCAAACTTTGTCTGTAGCATTCTTGGTCAAGTTTGCTTATATTAATTTGATTAGCCCCTTGTAGGGGCCGCAAAAGCTAAAAAGAGAAATACCTTTAAATGTCTATTTCTACAGAACTAATTGATGGATGATCACCAAACTTTGTCTGTAGCATACTTGGGTAGTCTTTTATCAAGTTGGCTCATATTAATTTGATTAGCCCCTTTTAGGGGTCTCTATAGCTAAAAATAGAAAAACCTTTAGATATCTTCTTCTACAAAACTTATTGCTGGATGATCACCAAACTTTGTCTGTAGCATTTTTGGGTAGTCCTTTATCAAGTTTGCTCATATGAATTTGATTGGCCCCTTTTAGGGGCCGCTTAAGCTTGAAATAGAAATACCTTTAAATGTTTATTTCTACAGTACTAATGGATGGATCATCACCAAACTTTGTCTGTAGCATTATTGGGTAGTCTTTTATCAAGTTTGCTCATATTAATTTGATTAGCCCCTTTTAGGGGCTGCTAAAATTAAAAATAGAAAACGTTTAAACATCTTCTCCTACAGAACTAATTAATATTTAGATGATCACCAAACTTTGTCTGTAGCATTTTTGGGTGCTCTTTTATCAAGTTTGCTCACGTTAATTTAATTGGCCCCTTTTAGGGCCCGCTAAAGCTAAAAATAGAAAAACCTTTAAACATCTACTTCCGAACCAATTGATGGATGAGCACCAAACTTTGTCTGTAGCATTCTTGGGTGCTCTTTTATCAAGTTTGCTTATATTAATTTGATTAGCCCGTTTTAGGGGCCACTTAAGCTAAAAATAGAAAAAACCTTCAAACATCATTTCCTACTGAAATAAGTGATAGATGATCACCAAACTTTGTAGCATTCTTAGGTAGTCTTTTATCAAGTTTGCTCATATTAATTAGATTAGCCCCGTTTAAGCTAAAACTTAAATGCCCCATGTCAAGGCATTTCTTCAAATTATTGTTTAAACATATTCTATGCTCAAATTTAATATATGAATATATTGACATTCCAACACTGTAAAGTAGTTGTTTCTGGTGAGCGACCCAGGGCCATCATGACCCTCTTGTTTTTTTTTGGGTTTTTTTTTTTTGGGGGGGGGGGGGAGCGGGGAATTCATACCCTCCGCCCCCATAAGGGTTTTATTGCTTATTGCTCCCCACCCACAGGCGCGGAGCTATTTGTGTTTACTTTTTTTGGTCCACGGACCTGATTTTTATCAATTAATCCCTTTGATTTACAGCTAATAATAAATTCGGATTTAAGAATTCCTTACGAAAGTCATATATTGTTTTCCCCTTCGGTGATTTGCAGCATTTTATATTTATGAACGAGGACGGGATTCAGCCGCTGGAAAGACAGAATAAAAGACAAAACAAAAATTAACTCAAATTCGGTAATTTATTTCTTACATTTGATCTTCTGCAGGCAATTACTTAATATTATGTAGTATATAGTGGGGTAAGTATTGAATGAATTCGAAAGCTTTATATAGATGGCGTAGCTTAACATTGTGAAAGTCTGAAATTCTATTTATAGAAGTGGTTTAAGTTTTGAGTCTGAAACTAAAGGAATGTGTCATTCGTGTCGCGCTATGGTAACAAAATAATAACGAACTGGAGAATTGGCAGGAAATTAAATGCAAACATATTCAACAATAAATTGCACCCTTTATAGATTTATAAATATTAATTTTTTATGATATTTTAACAACTGTACAGAAACTTTCGTCTGCAATTTTAACATGAGGTGTTATTGGTTTATTGATAGAAATGTAAACACACTGGTCAGATTTTGAAGCAATTCAACAAAATAGTAGATTGATCTCCCAATAAATCAATTAACAATAGCCCTTTTTTATCACCAATATCAAGTAGCTTTTACATATATCTTTGATTAATGTGGAACATGACGTAAGTGAACTTCCTCATACCTGTCTAAAATTCAGGTAACAGTCTTCCATGATATTGATAAATAATGTTTCACCATATAACATGTGCTAGTTCATCATCATTTGCTGCATATCTTGCTTGGACCCTCGTTGATGTTTTGCCTCAATGCTTTTCTTGTTATATCATGATATGCTGCGAAACATGTTAAGGACATTTTGAATGTTTTTAGCTTATTTACATATAGATTTTTAGCTCACCAGAGCCGAAGGCTCAGCTAGAGTGAGCTATTACAATGTAACTTCTGAAAACCGAACACCTATGGGACTAGCCAAAAAGTTCGGATTTGGAAGTTTCCGGAATTGGAATTGGAAGATACTGACATTTTGTATGATTTTGAAGGTTTTATAATGTCAATTATAATACTCCTTCACACCTTTTTAGCTCACCTTGCACAAAGTGCAGATGAGCTTTTAGGATGGCCAACCAAATGTGTCCGTCTTCCGGCGTCCGTCCGCATTTTATTCAAACGACATCTTTTACAAAACCACATGGTCAATATTAATGAAACTTGGCAGGAATACTCTTTGTATGAAGCTCTATCAAGATTGTTCAAAGAATGTCATTCCATGTTAAACTCTGGTTGCTATGGCAACTAAAAGAAAAAACTTAAAAGTTCTTATACTTCAAAATGGAAAGGGCTAGAGCTTAGATATTTCTCACAAGGCATAAGCTTGTTAGTTTCTACAAAGTATATTCAAATTATGGTCTAGAGTTGAAAATTGGTCTCTGTTTTGGGAGTTAAAGGGTTTTTTATTGCAAGGTTATACAATGTATAGACTTTCTTTGTAGGGATAAATTGAGATAGTGTATCTTGTATTTTTTGTCTCAACAGACATTGTTTTGTAGATTTTTCTGTTAAAACATAAGAAAGATGAAAAGTTTGTTGAATGTAAATGTTAATTCAAAACAGAGTCAATCAGAATAGCACAAATTTAAGAGCTACAGTGAAGTTGATTTCCCCATTCAATAATGGATTCTTTAATTAATTTCGTAACACCATCAGAAAGGGAGACTGTGTCATTTCCGAAATACAATGTAAAATATTTCGGTTCTTGACAATGACTTGCACTTTTTATTGTGTAAGATATTGCACAAAGAAACGAAAGTGAACAAAAAAATGTTGTTTTTTTTTTCACAAAAATTAGTTGATTAAGATAAAAGTTTAATTTACAGTACGGATATTACTTTTTGTATCCTTCCGGTTTGCGGGAAAAATCATATATTTCAACATCGTCTACACCGCTCTTACTGATGAACGAATTATGTCATAATATTTCATTCTGAGAACAAACATACGATTCAAATCATTAAATAATGCATACCAATCAGTCCATAAACAAGAAAAATATTATATACCAGGGGCGTACCTTGGCTTATTATGAGTGTACGGCGAGTGTCAGTTTTTGGCTGAAGGATCAAATATAGCTATGTGCTTTAACTAAGTATTTAGGGGATATTTAAGCTAATTGTACTTCTGTTGTCTTTATCTATAGTTATGAAAATAACATCAAGTACATATTTTGAATGTAAGAGAAATAGCACAAAGTCTAACGTGTACACTGTTTTAAATAGTTCTTTAGAAAAACAAAACATAGCCAGGTATCTCTCTTGTAAAAAAGATGGGTTTTATTTCCTTTTGTAACAAGTTTAGTTTTTTCTTTGTTATTTTTCTTTTGTTTCACCATAACTTAACGTGAGATATAATCAAGGAAAATACGCTTTAAAATGATCTGTATGACTTTAATACAAACACAAGAGCTTAAATGTTTTTATCGTATTCACAGCTAAAATGTAGTATCGCACGATCATTTAGCTTCCTTAAAATAGTTTTTAATGCGTATTA